GGGACAATTCCTGTGGTCTTTTTAATAATATGACCTATTTATAACGTTTTTTTAAAAAAAAACTTACCATAATTTATTTTAGAACCTGAGCATAAGAGCTTGTCATATTTTCCCATTGGGATTTTAAAATCCCCTATAAAGCAGGAAAGCCGGATAGAAAAATAATACATGTATGTACATTTATGTAGGTATATAATGTGTGTGTGTATGTGGACACAAAGAGTCTTTTTATAGAGACCTCCAGTTATTTTTGAAAAGTCGCTTTTAATTTTCCATTTTCTCTAGTATTAAACATCTAGTACTTCTTATAACCATAAAATTGCATGGTTTTATTATTTTTCAACACCAAGGGGTAGTATACATTATGGTATTCTAGAAGATTCTACGTTAGTTTATAGTTGCTTCATGTCCTCAACTGGATTATAAATTGCTTGAGGGTAATGGGCTCTTTCCTTCATCTTTTACCCACCCCCTCCCCAGACAGACAAAATGCTTTGTGTACAATAGGCATTCACTGGCATTTCTGAAGGTAATTTATATGAATTCATTGAAAATTGATGATGTATATTTAGCTAAAGCAAGATTAATATCCAAGCTAGTAGGTAAATTAGTGAAAGTTGGGTATGTATAGCAATCCTTTAGAGAAATCTTAAATGTTTTTATATTATAGTGCTTTGCCATTTTGTATTAAGTGTAACCAGAGCTTCTTCCATCACATTATTTTCCTAAAATAATACTCTGAGACAGTGGATTTTGAAATTTGAACATTTAATGCCTTGGTTCATGATTCATTTTTAGTACAGAAGGTAGCATCTGGGCCTTGTTTCTATTCGGCACTGTATTGCTAATTCATAAAGAGAGTTTGGTGATGGCCAGGAAAGAGTATAAGGATTGTTGGTAATTAAAAGAATGCTAACTCTCTGAAATATTAATTAAAACACTCCTAATACTGAATTTTGATTTGCAGTTTCAGCCAAGAGGGTATGAATGTCGGGATGCTGTGAATGGCTGTGATATTACTGAATATTGTACTGGAGACTCTGGCCAGGTATGGCAAACTGAGTTTTAAGTAATACATTTTATTTGTAAATAGACATTTTAAAGCTTTCAATATAGATTACATGTGTGAATATGGTTTGGTTCCTTTTGTTCTATGTTTTGTTTTGCTCTGTTTTCTAGTTATTTCTAGCTCTTCACCATACCTTTATTTTAGGAAAATTTGATGTGGTTTATTTTTTGGACTTAAATCTCTTTTTCTTCCAAATCTCTGCTTCATAGTTAGTGTTCTTTATGATTTATACCCAACTAATTGATTTTTCTTTCTTGGTCCCCACATATTGAACACTACATGCACATTGATGAAGCACACTAGTGTACTGTTTTCAAACATGTAAAACCAAAAACCCTTTCTTTTAAGAAATTTGGATGGAATCCTAGTGTAGAAAACCAGGGACAAGCAGCACTGCTGTGGTTGAAATGGGACTGGGAGCAGAAATCCACCTTTCTTAGTTCTCTGTTGCTGCTGCTCTCCCGAGTGCGTAGCCCTGGCTTCGTGGCCTATATGCTTTGGCATGATTTTCTTCCTGTTAAAATTCACATAACATTATAATTAATGTTGCCTTCTAGAATTCCTTCTTTATATAGTTTTTATGTTTTTCTATTTATTTATTTTATGTTTTTTCTATTTGTCTTTCTTTGTCATTCAGATGAACATTAGTTAAGTACCTACTGTGTGTCAATCACTGCAGTAAATGCTGGGATATGGTAGGGAACCAGACAGACAAGTCCTTGCTCTTATGGAACTTACATTTTGCTGGGTATAGAAAGGCAAATAAGGAAACAAAAAAATCAGATGGTGGTTAAGTGTGAAACATAAAATAAGGCAATGTGAGAAGAGGGATGGGGTGGAGAGCTTTAGATACAGGGTGATCAAGTACATTTTTCTGGAGAAGGTGGCATTTAAGTAGCGGCAGAAATGAAAAGGAGCTAGTCAGTAAACAGTGAGTACAGAAGCTTGGCTTCTTCAAGAAATAGAATGAAAGTAAGGATAGTTGGAGAACAGTGGAAAAGACTCAAAAAAGAGAGTCAGGAATCAGGGCAGATAAAGACTTGTAGACCATGGTAATTTTGGATTTCATTCTACCTTTATTTTCATTCTGACATTACTTCAAAAGCATTTTTCTTACTATTACACCATTTTTCTAATTGCATGAGAGTCTATCATGTAGGTTTATCACAGTTGATTTACCAGTGGTGGATATTTAGATTCTGGCAGTTTTTCATCATAATAATTAGTATGGAAGTGAACCTGTTTGTGCATTTTTAAAAGAGCTTTTTTTGTTCAGAGTTATCGCCTTAGGATAAGTTTCCAGGAATGGAGTTACGTATTGCCCAGTATTATGTTTTCCAAGGGGCTCACAATAAATTATGTTGGAGGTCAATATATCACTTTTATTATCAAAAATGGCCAAGTCGAAGACCACAGCTTACTGTGAGCACTTAATGGGTCTCTAAAAGAGATCCCAGTTCAGGCTGTAGCCACAACTGGTTACTGACAAAATTGGGCCCAGAGTGACCTCTGCCTGCAGAGATGGGCCCTTACGCAATGTATGATTTGGAGGAGGAGTGGAGAATGCATGATGTATGGGGGTAGGCTTGCTGCTTAGAGAAGAATGGCAGGACTGAGCCAGAATGCGTAGTTATTCTTCCCAAGCTTATCAGTCCGTCACTCTACCTCCCAGTGGTAGAAGTGAGTAGAGAGTAGCTGGAGTTACACTAAATGAATTCCCTTAACTGGAAGGAAACATGAGGAGAGCCAGAATGCGTAGTTATTCTTCCCAAGCTTATCAGTCCGTCACTCTACCTCCCAGTGGTTGAAGTGAGTAGAGAGTAGCTGGAGTTACACTAAATGAATTCCCTTAACTGGAAGGAAACATGAGGCGAGAGAAAGAAAGGTTCCTAATTAACCTTTTAGAGAGCTCTTGTTAACTATTATCTGAAGCTCAATAAATATGGACCCTTTTAAGGATATGGCACAGTGAAATATGTTCAGACTATTTTTTTTTGGCAATTTTTATGCCTGTTTCTTACATTTAAATATGTAAACAGGTTTCTCTGCAGTTTTTCTGTAACATAATGGCTAACAGTAGTAGGTTCTGTGATTAATGACAAGTGATAATTCTGATACTGTTTCACTGAGTTATATTTTTAGCTTTGTAAAATGCTACTGTTTTTATACCCACTATATATGGTTTTAGTTCTGTGTATTCAGATCTTTTAGAAGTATATATTTTTTTCATTCCAATCTTTAACTTTTGAATTGCCCTAAAATTTACTGGAAATAAGGCTTTTATGATGAGGGTTCTTTGTTCAGCCTAATATTCTGTTGTCTAAGTAAAACACTTTTTTTTCCTTTTATCTCATGTGTCTAAGGTGAAAATTGTACTGTTAAATTAATTTCTTAGTGGCATATTGGAATAGAATATTCTTGTTAATAATTTTAAACATGATCGGAATAAACCTGAAATAGATAATTGGAGTAGAGGGAGTTAAAACCTTCCAAATTATTCTTTTACTCTGTAAGAGATAGTGAACTTTGAATATAATTGATACTAATAATTATTAAGAAAATGGAATCTTTGCATCTCTAAGAATCAGTATCTACAGGCAGCATTATGACTTTATCTCTTTTATCTCATAATAGTGTTTGTTTAATTTTGATATTAGCATTTACTGATGCCTCTGAGCCACTTTTTAAATTCACAGTTTATGATAGAATAAATAATACTTGTGCAACTGGAAGGAATGCTTGGTAAACAATGTTGGATTCTATAATAACAATATTTAAAAGATGTGGGAAATATTTTTTGTTAGCACTATGAAATATGTCATCTAAATGGGTGGTATATCACAATTTAAAATAAACACATTTAAATGCAGTTACTCTACTGAAGCCTGCCTGCCTCAAGTGAACCTTTCTGCACAGCATAAAACTGGGGGTTGGAATGATATTTAAAGACTGAATCCAAAGCTCTACCTACAAGCAGAATAAAGTGCACAGATTTATGCTTCTCCTGTTTTGAATGTCCCTAGAGAATGTAAGACGACCCATAATTTCCCATGTTAAACATTTCAGTGATAGGCAACTAGCTTTTATTAGCCTAAACTAAAAACAAATTGATTAGAAATATCTCAT